TTCATCTGTCACAAATAAAAAATTGAAACGTGACAATTTAAAAATTTTATATGTCACAATTTGTTAATCGGTCACAAATGAGAAATTTTGTAAGTCACAAATTATTTTACGGTCACAAATCAGAAATTTTATAGGTTACAATTCAGAAATTTTATAAGTCACAATTTGTTCATCGATCACAAATAAGAAAATTTATACGTCACAACTTGATCGCAATTATATACAATTTGGTTACAAATTAATTTATTGGTTACAAATCAAAATTTTTATAAATCACAATTCATTTATCAGTCACAAATCACAAATTTCATAAGTATCAATTCAAATTTTTAGGTCACATATTACTTATTAGTCACAATTTATCGATCACACGTTATTTTTTAGTCACATCATACCCAAATGAATGGTTACAATCTTAAATAATTGGTTACAAATCGTCTTAATTCCATTACCTACCCCAATTCACCAGGCACCACCACTTCCAACAACAACAACAACAACAACTGCAACTACCACCAAAACCACCACTGCCAACAATATCCAACAAAATTGTTGCCACCGTCGCCCAAAAAACACCAACAAATCAAATCCACAAAAACAGTCGCACCACCATGGACACTGCGATGATCACCCAACAACCAGCAACTACCACTGACATCGACACCACCACCAACAACCACCATACCACCGCCACAAACTGCTAACACAACCAACAAAACCATCCCAAAAAACAACTAGCAACGACAACATCACCACTTCAGAGCACCACCATAACCCGCACCACCACCAGCTGCACACAACCAACAAAACTCACCCCAAAAAATAACCTTCACTGCCAACATCACCACACCCTCACGAGCATCGCCAACACAACCACCACTACCAACTGCACACAACTAACAAAACTTACCCCAATTTTTTTTGCACCAGATCGTGAAATTTTCCTATATCAAGACCAACAAAACTTCGGTAATCGTCGTTGTAGCAGCCAAGTTTTCCCTAGATCCCCATCTACGCTGCTCGCAGATGGACACCACCACTCCCTTCAAACCACACCATCGTCTCCTTCATTCCTCACCACAGTCAACCACCACTCCCTTCAAACCATATATCACTACCGACGGCGGTGGGCAGGTCGCTGCCATCGCAATAGGTTGCTGCGCTCGCGTGATCTCGAGCAGCACTGCAAAAGGGTCCTGATTATGAGAGGTTAGGAACCGCAGTATCCTAACAAGTGAGAAAGAGTGATTGTGAGATGGCAACTGAAGGAAGCAGTTTCACGCAGCCCAGCATTCCTAAATTCGATGGCGACTACGACCATTGGAGCATGCTAATGGAGAACCTTCTGAGGTCGAAAGAATATTGGGACCTGGATACACTGAGCCTACTGCTGAAGAGACGATGACTGCGGCACAAATGAAAACATTGGAAGAACTGAAACTGAAAGACTTAAAGGTAAAGAATTACCTCTTTCAGTCAATCGACAAATCAATCTTGAAGACCATTCTCCAGAAGGATACATCCAAGCAACTGTGGGACTCAATGAAAAGGAAGTATCCAGGGAATGTAAGAGTTCAACGTGCTCAACTCCAAGCACTTCGCAGAGAGTTTGAGGTCTTGGAGATGAAAGTTGGCGAGTCAATTACAGATTACTTCTCAAGAGTGATGTTGGTGGCTAATGATATGCGGAACTATGGAGAGAATATGCAGGATGTGAAGATTGTGGAGAAAATTTTGCGCACTCTCACGGAGAAATTCAATTATATCGTTTGCTCCATAGATGAGTCAAAGGATATTGATTCTCTCACCGTTGATGAGCTACAAAGCTCATTAATAGTTCATGAACAGAAGTTCAAGAGGCATAATAGTGAAAAGCAGGCCTTAAAGGTGACACATGAAGGAGGCAGAGGTCGTGGTCGAGGTGCATGGAGAGGAAGAGGAGGCAGAAGTAACCGAGATGGTAATGGCAAAGGTAGAGGAGAATTCGACAAATCCAACATTGAGTGCTACCGCTGCTACGAGTATGGTCATTTTCAATCTGAATGCACTGCCAATCTGCGCTATGATAAAGGTGCCAAGTCCCACTTTGCTGAGAAAGAAGAGAAAGTAGAAAAAGAAGAAAAAATGTTGCTGATGGCCTATCATGATAAGGAGACAAAGGTGAACTTGTGGTACCTCGATTCTGGTTGCAGCAACCATATGTACGGTAACAAGTCTTTATTTTCTAATTTGGATGAGTCATTTAATGAATCTGTGAAGCTGGGAGATAACTCTAGACTATCAGTTAAGGGAAAGGGAGATATCAAGTTGAAAATTGCTGATCACATCATCAAAATATGTGATGTATTTTATGTTCCAGAGCTAACAAGTAATTTGATAAGCATGGGGCAGCTGCAGGAGAGGGAGTTCGCAATTACTATTCAAGGAGGGTGATGTCAAATTCGTCATCCAAAGAAAGGTCTGATTACACAAGTAAATATGACGGCCAACCGACTATTCCCACTACATCTTGGAGATTATATGCAGACGTGCCTCTCTTCAAGAATTCAAGATGCTACTTGGCTGTGGCACTACCGTTACGGTCACCTTAATTTCAATGGCCTGAAAACTTTGCAGCAGAGAAACATGGTGATGGGACTTCCTCAAATTATCTGTCAATCAAGCAACTGTGAAGAATGTCTTGTAGGAAAACAGCATCGTCATCCCTTTCCCAAAGGAAATGCATGGAGGGCTAAAGAAGTATTATAGCTAATTCATTCCAACATTTGTGGGCCAATTAATCCAGTGTCAAATGGTGGAAAGAGGTACTTTATTACTTTCATCGATGACTACAGCAGAAAGACATGGATTTACTTCTTGAAAGAAAAATGTGAGGCCCTTGCTATGTTTAAAATTTTTAAATTCGTTGAGAAATCTATGGGGAAAGCAATTAAAATTCTTCGCACAGATCGCGGTGGTGAATACAATTCCCAAAAGTTTGCAAGTTTTTGTGCAATGCATGGGATTCGCATGCAACTTACAGCAGCATATTCACCACAACAGAATGGTGTAGTGGAGAGGAAAAATCGCACAATCCTGAATATGGTGCGAAGTATGTTGGTAAGGAAGAGTGTCCCAAAAAGTTTCTGGCCAGAAGCAGTTAATTGGAGTATTCATGTGCTAAATAGGAGTCCTACCCTTGCTGTGAAGGACATGACACCAGAAGAGGCATGGAGTGAAAAGAAACCTGCTGTTGATCATTTTAGAATTTTTGGGTGCATTGCATACGCACATATTCCAGACCAGAAGAGAAAAAAGCTAGATGACAAAGGGATGAAATGCATCTTCTTTGGAGTGAGTGAAGAATCCAAGGTATATAGGTTATTCAATCCTATTACCAAGAAGATCATAATTAGTCGTGACGTCTTATTTGATGAAGAAAGCTCATGGGAATGGGATGGAATGGAACAACAAATCCTTGTGAGTTTTGAGGAAGAACAGATAGGAGTGCAGCTGCAAATCAATCCTATTGAAGGACTGCAGTAGCAAATCCCTCCTTACGAGGATATGACTTATGAGCAACCAATACACGAAGCTCAAACAGCAACTCCAAGCTCACGATCTCAAAGAAATCGAAAGAGACCTACGTGGATGATTGATTATGAAAGTAGAGGTGAGTTGTCTGATGATGATACTACTGCTCATTTTGCCTTATTCGCTTATTGTGATCCCATAGCATACGAAGAGGCAGTAAAGGAGGCTAAGTGGCAGAAAGCTATGGACTTAGAAATTGAAGCCATAGAGAGGAACAATACCTGGGAGTTGACTGATCTTCCAAAGGGGCAGAAAGCAATCGGTGTGAAATGGGTATACAAGACTAAGTTTAATGAGAAAGGAACTGTGGACAAACATAAGGCATGACTGGTTGCAAAGGGGTACAAGCAGAAGTTTGGAGTAGATTACAAGGAAGTATTTGCTCCAGTGGCTAGAATGGACACCATTCGACTTGTGATTTCGATGGCTGCTCAACATTCATGGTCTATTTATCAACTTGATGTTAAATCGGCCTTCCTGCTTGGAGATCTTCAAGAGCAAGTATACATTGATCAGCCCTTTGGTTTTGTAAAAAAAGGAAGTGAGGAGAAGGTATACAGGTTAAAGAAGGCTCTATACGGTCTAAAATAAGCACCACGTGCTTGGTATAGTCGTATAGACACCTATTTTTCTAATGTTGGTTTTCAAAGGTGTCCATAGGAGCATACTCTCTACATTAAAGCTGGAATTGCAGGAAAATTTTTAGTGGTCTGCTTGTATGTAGACGACCTTATCTACACAGGTAATGATGAAGAGATGTTTGCTGAATTCAAAGTTTGAGATGACTGATTTGGGAAGATTGCACTATTTTCTTGATATAGAAGTCCTACAATCATCGGCTGGAATTTTCATCACACAAAGAAAGTATGCTCTAGAGCTTTTGGAGAAATTTGAGATGAAGGAGTGTAATGCAGTTGCAATCCCAGCAGAACCAGGATTGAAGTTGACTATGGATCCTAATGGCAAGAAAGTTGACAGCACGTTCTTTAAGCAACTTGTTGGAAGTCTATGTATCTTACAGCGACAAGGCCTGATATCATGCTTTCAGTAAGTCTCATTAGTAGGTTTATGGAATGTCCAATAGAACAGCATCTCTCTGTTGCAAAAAGAATCTTATGCTATGTAAAAGTAGGGGTGGGCGCTGGTCGGTTCGGTTCCATTTTTTTCGGTTCCAAAAATTTTCGGGTATTTAGTAAATGGAACCGTCGGTTCTAAATATAATTTTGGAACCGTTCGGGTTCGGTTCTGTTCGGTTCGGTTCGGTTCTGTTTGGTTCCGTTCGGTTCCTTACTATAATTAAATTTTTTAACTTTTAAAATAATACTACATAAATACGCCTGATAGTAGATACTAATATTAGCCGCTGTTTGAAGGGCATTTTTTTCCCATTTCTAAAAATTTTTTTAACGTTAGACATGGGGCCAGCCGAAATATTTGACCAACTTGTGAGAGAGAGGGGCCCACTAATTTGAAAAAAATGGTCCAATTCTTCGTTTTTTCTTCACAAGAATGCTGGCCAAACA